ATTTTGCCTTTGCCAAGTGGTTCTATAATCAACTCCATCAATAGAGGATCCTAGAAAGAAACTGCAAGGTAGAAAGTGAAGGAATCAGCAGTTCCTCCCTTTCCTTCTTATTCGCATCACCCCAACAATAGTCCTTAAACATGGAAGTGTCAGTTGTTTCGATCTCCTCCAAAATCTGGACCTGCACAGTCACCCCGCTGGACTCTCTCCTAACTACTGAGGTGTCTGCATCAGCTGAGTGGTAACCCCTTTTCTTAGGGTTTCTATTACTGTGAAAAGACACCATGACCATAGCAACTCTTATAAAGGAAAACATTTCATTGGGGCTGTCATACAGTTCAGAGGTTTAGTCCACTGTTGTCGTGGTGAGAACAATGGTGGCACACAGGCAGACATGGTACTGGAGAGGTAGCTGAGAGTTCTACATCTTGATCTGTGGGCAACAGAAGGAGACTGTCACACTAGGCACAGCTTCAGCATATGAAAGCTCAAAACCCACTTCCACAATGACACACTTCGTCCAACAAGTCTACATCTACTCCAACAAGGCCACATTTCCTAATAGTGCCCCTCACTATGGGCCAAGCGTTCAAACACGAGTCTATGGGGGTCATTCCTATACAAAGCATCACACCCCTCCTCAAAGGTCTGAGTCCCAGCTCTGCACCAGTGCCCTTTGACCTTCTAGCTCTACCTACTGCTTTGTGCTCCCAGTCTGCTGGTGGAAGATTCTTCAGAGAATTACTAAGCGGGCTACCTTGCTATTTCTTTCACCATTCTCAGCATTGCCTCCTTTCTAAAATAGGGCTAAGCAACTCCCTGTGTCCAGTGTCCCCTTTTGGCAGAGCTGTGGGGGTTTCCATTATCCCTGCCAACACTGAAGTGTAAGTGCTGCTTTGATTATACTTTCCTGCCTCATCCTCCAAGTCAGACTGCTTTGATCCTGCAGCACTCATCTTCTGGCCCTCGAACTCTCCTCTCTGGATGGCAATTCATGTCGGTGAACAGGGATAGAGGTGGAGACAGGGAGACACAGCCTTGAACATCCTACACTCTAGAAACAAGCAGCAGTGTCAGAGCACAAACTCTTAACTGGCTCACTTAGGGAATGGGGCTCATGGAGGCCAAACAGACACCTCCCAGGGAGCCTGTTCCAAAGTCAAAGCAAGCAGGAAGGTTTTGTTGTTTGAGTACTTGGAAAGGGGGCCTGAAACCCAGTGAGCAGCATGACATAAGGAACTGCAGACAATGGGACAAAGAATGAGCAAGCTTAAGATGACCACCAGGACGAAATTACTGCCCTCTGTGACTCCCCACCCACCTCCATTTACCTCCACGGACAAGGAAATCCCACCACTTGAAACTTCTTGATTCATCTCTCTCAGCCATCTCCAAGGTTCCACTCTAGAACTTCTGTGAGGGGACTGACTAAGTTGGAGGATCTCAGTAAACGCTGTATTGAGAATTATATCCCAGCCACCCCTTTACTCAGATTTGGAGGTTATGGAGAGGATCTGATAAGATGAGGACTTTTTTTTTAAAATGGTATAATTCTGGAACATTCTGTAGAACAAATATGCAAACAGCGTCTTATCAGATGCTCTTGATTTAAATCTTGGATTTGCCTCTTTCTAGCTTGGGACTGAAGCCAGTAACTCGGGGTCCTCAAGCTTCAGTGTCTTCACATGTAAAACAGTAGTAATAGCCTTGCAGTCATTCTATTAAGGCAAAATATATCCCTTGGTATAATATATGGGCAGCTAGTCTACTTGACGGTGGAAGGTTTTGACTGAGCCTGGTTTGAGGTGTTTACCTGTCATCTCAGAACCTAGCAAACATCTATCTTTCCTTGGTTTTTATAAATCAGGCCCAAAGCCTTATTCCTGGCCTCCATTTCCCTTCAAAGGCCTTCACTACTCACCTACATCCTAAGGACTCCTCTCCACCATCTTCTAGAATGACTAGAAAAGGAAACAGTCACCCCACCTCTGTCACTCTCACAACATCAACAATGATCCTGTAGGGTCTGAACACTACACCGAAGCAGACCCCTGAGGAAGCAAGATTGGCAAGATGGGGAGGACGCCTCAGAGACCATAGGAGCCTTCCTTTGGGACTGATAGCTTCACAGACTCTAGAAGAATGACCTTGGTCTCTGCCCTCTTGTTCTACCTGTGGTAATGGAAGTGTGGAACAACTAATGCTTTCTCCCCAGGCCTCTTTTCAGCCTGAAGAGGAAAAGCAACACACATCTGAACCTTCAGAAAAAAAATGGCCTCCATAAGGCTCTGTGGCAGAGGACAGAAAATTATTTCGCCAGGAAAAGAATCCAGATCTAGAGGGGAGAGAATAACTCCATATAGACAATGGACTTTGAGAGATAATCAGGGGTCACTTAAGTTACTTCTCTTCATGGCTGCCACTTTCACAGGGACCACTAATCCCCTCCACCTTGTCTTGCATGACTCCTTTCTAGCAAACAAGGTGTCAAGAGCACAGTACATGCAGCGTTCAGTATGCCCCAAGGTGTATTCTAAATGCCTACTTGCATCAGTTCCCACCACAACCCAGAAAGTGGTGATTACTGCCCATTTTGAAGATGAAGGAGTTTGGATTTCAGTAAGGCAAATAGCTTGCCTGTGATCCCATCCTAAGAAAGGGGTAGAGCTGGGATTAGGCAGAGCCTTCTGACTCACAGTCTCCACTCTTTTCCACTTAATTATGTTTTTCCAATAAATCATGTTTTCCACCCAAAGAAGTCCCTTCCTAATCCTTGGCAAGGATATCAGAATTCTTGCTATCCAGTGAGAAGTCCCCTGACGCATTTCCCCGGCTCTCTTCTGTTCAATCTAGCTAGAAGATGATTTCAGTGACTATAGCTGCATTTTTTTTAGATGAAGATTTTGGATTCCAATTATTAAATATAATCCCTAAAAACTCATACATCTTGGAACAGAAATCAATTTGGACTATGAAGATGCAAGCTAAGGTTGGGACAGTTCACTCATGGCCTCTTCTCTCTCCATATGATACCTCACAGCTCAGACCCCTGCATGGAGCAGTCTTGCCTCTCCACTGAAGAACTGATGGAAATGTTTCCTGACAGCTGGAAGTCAGAACCAGAAGTTGGAATAATGGAGACTGCACTTCAGATCTGCTTTTGATTTTTTTTGTGCCTCTTTTGTTTTTTAAACCTGTTATCTTTCAGGTCTAGATACTTCTAATGAACCAACAATATCATTTAGTTTTACTTCTCTTCAAAATTGGCTTGTAACTGAGTTAATGGGTAGGACATCTTTAGACTCCTTATCTGCCATGATTTTGAGAAACAGATGGCATACAGATATCAGCTGGTACATCATCCTATCCTCTCACAGAATCCTTGTCAAATAACATCAGGAAGAAAACTTAAAGAGGCTTCCAGCCCTTAGCGGCCCCCTCCATATTAACCTGCCTTTATATTCTCTGCTACCTACACTCAGTCAGAGATGGAGCAGGAGCTTCAGTGGGGGGGGGGTCTCTTGCTTCTGCTCCCATGGAAATAAAAAGCCAACTGAGATCTTGTTGATATTCCAGTAATGTCAAAGTGGTGCTCTAATACTGGCTTTACTTCATTCAAGGCCCCTTCTCGTCCAGCTTGGGCAGCTCGCCGCTCAGCTGATGGCCCAAGTTAACATTGAAGAAAAGAAATAACCCATTAAGATTTCATCTGCTTTCCCAGACACTAAAACTGAAGGAACTCTCATTTAAAAATTGCTCAATTTGGTGCAAAAAAATGACATTATGATTTTCTCAGGCTTTTCCTAAGTCCATTTGATTAGTATTATATTAACACTTCTGTCTGACCAATTGCAGAAATATTTATTGATTACTGAGTACCAAAGCAAAAGGCACAGGCTCAAAGGAATCAACTCAGAGTACACAAGAGGGTACGTAGTTAAAAAGCCCTCACCATATACAGCCTGCTTGTCATCAATAACAGTCCCTAGATACGGAGAGCCATTCCTGTAGTAGGCTATTCACTTTATCCTATGTTATGGGCCATATTTGGTCATCCCTGGTCTTAGCTGCTTGAATTTCTCACATGTTCAGAAGCCAAACAGGGCTGAGAATGATGTCTGTGAAGACAACCTGATGGAGTTCCCCTTCTCCAGCAGGAAGTGTAGACATGTCACCCTTATACATTGCACACAGGGGCAGTTTTTCTTATCCAAAGCAGCTGTGTCCCTGACAATACCAAGGACTAACTCAGTTTCACTTCAACACTAATGAAAAGCCCAGCCTTTGCAATGCCAGCATTGGCACCCTCCCCTATGTCTCTTCACTGGCACCTTCTCACATGTCCCTGTTCTGTTTGTTTGTGGACATCCTCATGACAACAGAAGGAGCCTAATGGCCTGGGAAGCAAACACTAGTATGGAGGCTCTCCAAACCTTGAACTTCCTTAAAGTAACTGTCCTGTAGTGACTTTGGATTAGCCCAGCCCTTCCTTTACATACAGATAATTAATAGGCTTTGTTTTGTCAACCATAAGGAGGAGGAAGGAGACATGTCACTAAACCCATTCCTAGCCCATATAAGAAGCTCAAGTTGGGGAGTCAGGAGAGAGAATTTCTTTGACAGGAGTTTCAGTGCAGTATATCTCACCCACTCCTCAACAAATCCATGGCAGAGGCTTGAGGGGAATGACTTGGGGACTTGGTCTGCACTTTCTAGAATCTTAACATATAGATATTAGTCTATGAGTCACCATCTCCATTAGAATATGGTTAGTGCCAATAGTAGATGTCTGATAAATATCTGTTAAATGATTGGGAGAGTAAAGTATACATGAATGAGTCTGCTAGTTGTGTTTCTCACTGATACAACGATAACCAACAAGAGAAGCTTAAGGAAGGGAACATTTATGTGGCTTGAAAGTCAGGGAGGCAAGACTGGAAGGCAGCTGGTCCCATTGGGCCAACAGTCAGCAGCAGAGAGCAATCACTGTTGATGCTCACCTCACTGTTTCCTTTTTATTCTGTCTGGGACATCAGCTCAAGGGATGGTGCCATTCATACTCAGAGTGGGTCTTCGGTGGTGATTCTAAATCAAGTCAAGTTGACAATGAAAACTAAACTTCACAATGAGTGATGGAAATTTGAAAAGCATAGTAGAATCTATGAATAAAAAGAAAGAAAAAGTACATTGACTACACAGCAGAGAGAATGTGTGTGCATACATGACTATACCAAAGTTTAGTAAATGAGTGAATGTAGTATGGAAATCTCGGTTTTACTGGCCTTCCTTCATATTGGTTATTATGGCTGACAGGTAAACCCCAAATGGCCCAGGATATCTTCCTGTCTTCTTATATGAGTTTTAACCTCACATAAATCCCAGAGAAACCACAAACACTCAGAAGAAAACAAAATTTCCTGAATTAAAAGTCATTTGGGATCTTATTCTAGTAGAAAAGAGAGTCTTGTCCCTGCACATTAAGATGGCTGTGTCTTCTGTTGTCTTCTACCCTTAATAGTTCCATTTTGACCACAGTCCATTCCACAAGAACACTTGACACCGATAGAAAAGGGATGTTACTTCCCATAAGCATCCTTCATGTCAGCCTCTCTAACTTTGTATAAACCCTCTGCTCTGACTCACAAGTGAGACATTTATATGTACTTTGATGTTCCAGAACAAGGCCTTGAATTGCAGATACTTTCTCTACCTGTTTCCCACTACACTATAATGAACAGCATGCTTCCACAAACACACCCACAGCAGCCAAATAATGAGATTAAAAATATGAATGTTCATGCAGACATGCATTTGAAATACTAAATCCAAATGAGAATAATCATGGACTCTGAACACCCTTCACCCACAGAGATTCCTTAGGCCTCCACACATACCTGGGGAGACTCAAACTAGGTTCTGAACCAAACTCTACATACTTCTAATATACAAGTAATCAATGAAAGCTGCCAGAACAGTCCCGCCTATGTGACTTTCCATATCTATTTACCCAACCCTATTTGGAATAGGGAGGGGTTCCAAGGCAAGGAAATTCCAGAAGACCCCTTATGAGGAGCCAAGTCTTTGATATAAAGTTCTGTTGTTCCTTGCTTCTCCATGTAGTCTCTCATCACTCCATCTAAACAATATTTCAGAACCACAACTTCCCATGTTCTTTCACAAACAAAACCTGCACAGTCACAGTGGGATAGGCCTGTACTGAGTACCCACCCTCCTCCCTGTCATAAGCTAAAAATGAGGTTTGAGTCCATCACTAACTCAGTTTAGTTTGCTGCTGAATGGGTATATGAAGATCAAAGAATCATAAGTACCAATTCATGGTGGTAAAAGCAAAAGAATTAAATATATAGAGCTTGTCCAAACAATGCCTGAAGGGAATACAAATATTCATGTGTATATGAAGGGTGGAAAGGAACATATGACCGAGTATTATGGGAACTGTGTTTGCATCAAGGGCTGCTATGTAGGGAGAACTGTTCCCAATACGACTAGAGGCTGAGGCATCTACATTCTAATTTATGTGTGACTGAGAATGGCCCCCAACGGCCCATACGTTTGAAAGCTTGGTCCCCAGCTAGTTGAACTGTTTGGGAAGGCTTAGGATATGTAGCCTTATTGGAGGAGGTGTGTCATTGGGGGTGGGCTTTGACTTTCAGAAGACTCATGCCATTCCCAGTGTGCCTCTTAATCTCTGCCACACAGCTGTGCTTCAAGATGTGAGCTCTCAGCTGTTCCTTTGCTCCACCATCACAGACTGGAACCCTCTGAACCACTGCCAAACTGAACACATTCCCTTAAAAGTTGCCTTGACTGACAGCTGGGGAACCTGCATAAGACCAAATTAGGCCCTCTGAATGTGGATGTCAGTTGGGGGGCTTGGGCACTCTGTGGGACCACTGGCAGTGGAACCGTTATTTATCTCTAGTGTATGAACTGGCTTTTTGGAGCCCATTCCCTATGGAGGGATACTCTCTCAGTCTAGATACAGGGGGGAGGGCCTCGGTCCTGCCCCAAAAGATGAGACAGACTTTGATGACCCCTCAAGGGAGGCCTCACTCTCTCTGAGGAGTAGATGGTGGTTTGATGGGGAGATGGCAGGGAAGTGAGAGGGTGGGAGAGAGAGGAAACTGGGACTGGTATGTAAAATAAGATTGTTTTTAATTTAAATAAAAATTAATTTTAAAAAGTCGCCTTTATTACGGTATTTTGTCTCAGTAATAGAAAAGTAACTAAGACACAAGGTAATGTTCCCACTTCCAACCCATTGCCTTTGCCTTTGCCTAGGTTTACACGCATATGTTTGAGCATTTCCCTCTTGCATGTGTATTTTCTATGTGCTTTTTGCATGTTTCCCCCCCTATAGCATCATGGGGAAGTGGTCTGGTCTTATAGCTCTGATAGGCCTTATAGAAAAAGCATGCCTCCTTCAGAGCAAACAGGTAAACTCAGTGATGGTTACTTTAGGAATAAGACACCAGACAAGGGACCCACTACTGTGGTACAATCAACACCTGAAGCAGATCTGAGGTTCTGGAGCCCAACCTCAGTGCAGAAGGTGGGTGGAGTCAGGGGAACATAATCAGAATTTCTAGATAGAAATAAGTGTGTACGGTGAGAACAGCTTTGCTGAGAGTCTTTCAACACATTTATTCCCAGATGGTTCTAGTGCAAATGTGAAAATTATTTTTTGAAGGCAATGAAGACATTTCAATTAAGGCTTGGTTTGATTTTAAGATAGAAATATAGGAACTATGCTTTGGTGGAAAACTCTCACCCAGTTCACTGTTCTACATACAAAAAGCACTAAATGGGAAGTCTATAGAGTTCGAATTTCTCTCATTGCTTCAACGTTTGGAAGACCTTGGGTAAGTCTGTTTTCTTTCCTCAAGTGGTTGGTTCTTTTATGTATTTAAGAGGGAATTACACTAGATTAGCAGATTTTATTTTTAACATTTTTCTTTAGATGAGTAGATACCCTTTTTAAACATATTACCAAAATATCTAATAATTTATATCAGATGAAAATAGTCATTCTATGGCTATAGAGGCTGGCTTAGCATTAAGAGTGCTTGCTGCTCTTGCAGAAAACCCAGGTTCAATTCCCAGCACCCATATTGGGCAGCTTGTAACTCCACCTCCAGATTATCTGATGCCCTCTTCTGGCCTCCAAAAGTACCCACACACATGGCAAACATACAGATACACACATGCACAAAAATAAAAGTAAAATATCTTTAAATCTTTCTAGTTAATGCAAACTGAATAGCCCAGACTTTGAGCACCCCTATTCTCTACGATAGGTCCTTGTCTCAGAAACTGATACACAGTGTGAAATATTACCCTCCCTAGGCAACAGGCAAGGAAATAAATGAGGCAGCCACGATGCAGTTGATCCTGAAGACCCTGCTAACAAAAAAACATATACACACAAAAAAATAGAAACTGGTGGTTCAAAGTCTCCTTCAAGAATCAAAGTCTTAAAAAAGGTAAGCCCAAAAACAAAGACAAGTTTTATGATAGCAACAAGAAAGTTGTGTTTCCCAGCTGGGTATGGGAATGATGCCTATGAACCCAGCATTTGGGAGGTTAAAGCAGGAGGAACACAAGTTTGAGACCAATAAATATATGAAAACTTATCAGCATCTCAGGCATCAAGGAAACACAAATCAAAACCATACTGAGATTCTATCTCACTCCAGTCAGAATTACTAATACCAGAAAACAACAAGGAAATGATGACAAGAATGTGGGGGGAGGAGCTAGTGGAGGAGAGCCGTAATGCTCGGTTGGTAGGAAAGCAATTAATACAGCCAGTGTGGAAATCAGTATAGAGCCCCTCCCTACTTTTATGTAAGTAGGAAGGTGCTTCCAAAGGACAACTTCTACCTTCTCTATGCTGGCTGTCTTGAATTCCCTCATCCCCTGCCAGTATATATGTCGCACCTGCTGTGCGGCCTGCATCCGAGAATGTAGCGAGGTGGTCGGGATAGATGAGACAGAGACCGGTCGGTTGCTTTAAGAAAACTTTATGCTTCCCAAGTCAGCTTAGGAGGAGACCCCAGTCCTCTTAGGAGAGAGCTCTCAGGAGAAGTCTCTCCAAGAAAAATCGCTTCCCTTTTTAAGGACTTTTGCCATCCATCTACATACAATTCTTTCCAGACTTCTCACCCTCCTGGCTGGTGGTTTAATCTCCGGCCCCAAAAATCGGAGGAGACACAGCAGGGGGGACAGGAAGAGGCATCTAGCCATAGGGGGTGTGAAAGTCATGGTATCTCAGTGAGCAAGCCCTTATCTGAGCCCTATCAAGAGCTTTATAGCACTGAATTGTTTTTAGTAAACATTACACAGCTGCCTGCTCCCAGGCCGAAGGGGAAGTGGGTTTCTGCTCAAGGTCTGGTGTCCCCACATATATACATCCCTAAGGCTGTTGGTACCAAAAGTCTAGGAAATACAGGATCTCCCTAATGGTCTGAATTCTGTGCATACACCCAACGAATTGAAGTCAGCATGCAATAGAGGTATCTGTACAGTCATATCCATTGTAGCACAACAGATGAATAGAAAAAGGAAATGTGGTGTGCATGTAAAATGGAGTATTATTCAAACATAAAAAAAACAAACTTATGTCATTTTAAAGAAAATGCATGAAACTGGAAATCATCACATGATGCAAGATAAGCTTGACTTGAAGGGCAAACACAATACCTTTTCTATCATATGCAGTCTATTTTTTTTTTAACATGAGACTTGAAAACCAGACTAGTTGTGAAAAGGAAAAGGGCCAGTTAGAAGAGGGAGGGACAAGAAAGGGTATTATGGATGAGTAGGATAAATGTATATGATATGAATCATTAATATGTCATAATAAAACCTATTATTTGGTACAATGAACATATGCCAAAATTACATAAATAAAGACAACTTTTTTCAGTTGGCGTTCTATGTTTATCGCCTCTGCCCTCCTTTTCTGCTTGTTTCATCTCTCCCTCCCCTTTCCATCTTCTCTGCCCTCCAGACCAAGGCTTGACAGCATGCCATGGTATATAACTAGGAAAATAAATGTTCAAAAATTGGACTCAAATATAGTCAGAATGTGTCAGAGACAGGCTCTAAACCAGAGTTCAAACCATCAGGG